CATTCTTTATGTCTGGAGGAAAAGAAATTTAATCTCAAAACACAGAAAGGTGAGAGTGAGCTGTGAAAATGTGGAATAGATTCCCTCAAGAGTTGGTTCTGGCCAGCTCAGTAGGTTGCTTTAAAAAAAGGCCTGGATTATTTCTTGGATACACAGAATATAACTGGATACTAACATTTATAGGTAAAGTTGATCCAGGGAATATCCGATTGCCTCTCGGGGAATCAGGAAGGAATTTATTCTCCTGCAGGAGCAAATTGGATCATGCTTTGCTGGGTTTTTTGCCTTCCTCTGGATCAACTGTGAGTGTAGGATTATAATTTTTTTTTTTTAATGATTGAACTGGATGGACTTTTGTCTTTTTTCAGCCAGACTAACTATGTAATAAAACCTGGAATATGATTAGCTTCTATGCAGAGTTGTACCAGATTTTGCACTCTAGAGTTTTAATAAATGACCCCCTTTGAATTTTGCTCCTCCTGAGTCTGATTTTTCTGAATCTGCTGACTTAGGTGAACAAGTTATTACCAAGACACCTTATGCCCATATTCACATTATACTTCCAGCTTGCTTCTTGCTGTCTCATAATGACTGTTCATGGCTCTGCAAATTGTGTTGAATCACTTTCAAATAAACACTGGCTTCCTTGTGCAACTAATTCCATCGCTTCCTCATCACTTTAGACTTCATTCAACCGCTTTATTATGACACCTGTCACCCAGTGCCAAAACACAGCACATTAATGATGCTATTAGTGTTAATCTGCATTAAATCACGACAACCTCACTAGGCAAAAATTCCTCCTCCCCATCCTTTTATATTATTCAGTTTAGATTGTAAGCTCAACTGACAAGGAAGTTGGTGGAAGCTGATGAAGATGAAATTTTGCTATGCACAAAATACATGTCTGACCCATTACATAATTAGCTATTTTAGATTTTACTTGTGGGAATTATAAATGATTACATAAATAGAACTGAATTATGTTTGCAACTATTTGTCCTCAGGACTTTTCAAATTCACCAGCTGGTGACACGGACTGTCATTCATAATGAACCAGAATTAGCTTGATGCCTAAATACAAGGGAACTGCGCTGGTCCGACAGTTTTCATGGCTTCCTTGTTTGTTATCAGTCACTGAGCTTGTGACAAGGATGACATTCAATAATAAATATGGGCTATTGCTAGTTTGTGTATTTTATTTTAAATGTGGCCTGTGGGATATTAGCCACACATTTCTTTTTGACAGGTTCGCACATGGGCCTGTTCATTTGTGAGGTTCTTGAACTTGGAAGTAATATGGGAACAAGCTGATTTTAGCAAAAATTCAATATGGTTAGTCAAAGAAGAATGCCAGTTACCATTTAAAACACACAAGAAGAATGGAAAATATGAGAGATAAAACACAAAGATCAAAATATGCAAAACAATTTGATAATGTCTCTTACAAAAAGAAAGGTTGCCTGAATCTCCTCACTTAATCCAAAAAACAAAAATATTAAATTATTGACAATTTCCAAGCGGATTCGATTTATATGCATATACAAATGCAGACAAATATGAAGGTTATCAATACCAACTCAAAGTCACAGTATAAGAATGTCCTTGCTGGGGCTCATGTTGAACAGATTGCAGAATAGAGCTCTGAATATTTTATGGGCCCAAGCATTCACAATTTGTGGGTTAGGTGCAGTGTGGTACTGTGGTAGTGATCACACTGAGACCCGGAATGCAGAAACCAATGTGTTGCAGAACTTTCAAAACAGTACAACAACTGGCTGGCGGGGAGGTCTCCCATCTTACAGTCAATGCAGCTGAGAGACAGTGGTAGTAGGCCCGAGCTGAAGACAGCATTTGCTGAGGGAGGTGGAGTGTGGTCTGGCCTGTCCAACCCAAGAGGGAGCTAGCGGAGGTGTAAATGTAGGCCCAACTCTTTTCCTACTCCTCTGGAACCTCTCCCTAATGCTAGTGCTATCCCTGGCAGATGGGTATGCTCTCCCTAACCTATCCACGTTGCAAAATGCGTGCCAAACCCTGGGGATAAGGACTTAAAAAGACTTTGCTTGACCCAAGATGGCCACCAGGGATACCTGGATGCAATATAGCCAACTGGAATTTTGCTCCAGGGGATCGAGGAAACAATAAAAAAAACACGTTTTTCTTGACTTCCTTCCCAGCTGCACTCTATTCCATTCGAGTGCCACGTGCACATCCCTGGCTTTGCACACAGCCCTTTACAGGCGGCAAATCCTTGTGCTACTATGTCCACACTGAAGGCATAGGGATTTTGTCAATGAAAGGTAATATTTTGCAATTTATTATCTCATTTTCTTCTTTCTTGTTGTTTGTTATCACGTTGTTGATTTGAGACTTGAAACCCACATTTTGATATTGAGTTTTTTTTTAGGAGATGTGACAATTAAGTTTTATTTGAATTGTTGGATGCCATTTAAACCACATCTGTACTTAAAGTGATTATGTAACTAGACTCCAACTATAAGTAAACGTATTCCCGCTAAAGAAACAAATACTTACAGTACCTCTCCCACTGCCTGCGCCGTTAGACATTGCTATAATGAAAAAAAACTCAACATCTAAACAAAGAAACACTTCTAGAAGTGTCATTTCCCTTATTCCTTGCTGCACTGTGTGTTTTCTTTCACAGATCTTTACACCACTATAGGGAAGTTATGACATAGAGGTTAATGAGAGGAACAACTGAGCACAGTGGGGGACCAGGGGGCCAGGGGACCAGAGGATCAATACACCTGGAAGTTTTGTTTTGTAAAATTTCATCAGCCATAAGTTCTCCCCCCCATTAGAGTGGCATTTGGGGATCCAATGGGAGAGGTAAGTATTTCCCATCTGAAGTTTAGCAACGGTTGCCTATGTGGAAATGTAACACCCCATCTATCCTAAGGCAGTGGAGGAGGATGCCAGAGTGACTTGCTGGGCTAGAATTTCATTTCAGGGTGGAATTATTGACTATTTGTGGGGTGGAATAAATTGAGTAAAATTCACTTCCGTAAGTTCAACAGAATTTATGAAGCCCAATAACGTCTGCTGGCAGTAGCTTCTAGTCCTTGAACTTTACCGTGGTGGCTTGTACAGGCACGATCACATACCTGTACGTCCGTAATGGCGCGCCACCATTTCCCCCCAGCTGACTCTCACTGAGACTGGACACAGAGGAATTTTGTCAGCAGGTTTCAGCCAGTTATTCATGGATGAGACCTGCTGACCAGCTGTGTCCAATCACAGCCCAGAGCTCTGTGTTGACAAACATTGCAGAGCTCTGAACAGAAGGAACAGTCTTTCTGATTCTTCTCTGTTTCAGGGAGGAGGAACAAACAGATATTTAGTAAAAAGCAGCTCACATTACACATTGTTAGACACACACTTACCCCTTTGATCACTCCTAGGTGTTAACCCCTTCTCAACCAGTGTCATTAGTACAGTGACAGTGTATAGTATTATCACTGATCACTGTATTAGTGTCACTGGTGATGTCAGTGGCAGTTAGACAGTTAGTGTACCTCCCATCCTGGGTCAGTTAGTGTCAGATTGGCAGCTGCACTATTACAGTCCCACTTTAAGTCGCTTATCACCGCCATTACAAGTATTAAAAAAACAATAGCCTATATTTTCGCTATATATATAAACCAATCAATATACAATTATTGAGATTTTTAGTTTACCAAAGATAAAACATATTTTGACCTAAATTTAACCACTCTGGAAGGTTTTACCCCTTCATGACTAGGCCGTTTTCTTTAATTTGGCACTGTGCTATTTTAAGAGGTAATTGCTCGGTCATGCAACGCTATTACCAAAGTTTTTTATCATTTTTTTCACACAAATAGAGCTTTATTTTGGTGGTATTTTATCACTACCACTTTTTTTTCATATATAAACGAAAAAGACTGAAAATTTTGAAAAAAAACAAAACAATATTTTTACCTTCTTCTAGAAAACATATCCAATAAAAAAATTATAAAGATCAAATTTCTTCATAAATTTAGGTCAACATGTATTCTGCTACATGTCTTTGGTAAAAAAAAAAAAAATCCCAATAAGTGTATATTGATTGGTTTGCGTGAAAACTATGGTATAAATACATGAATTTTTAGTTATTAATTTAGTTATTTATTTATTTTTGAAAGGAGAAAAAACTGAAAGATTGTTCCCTCTGTACAAAGCCCTGTGTTGATTGTCAACACAGGGCTCTGGGCTGTAATTGGACACAGCTTATCAGCAGGTCCTTGCCATGGATCGTTGGCTGGGACCTACTGATTAACTCCCACTGTATACAATCACAGCGGGAGTCTGTGGACTGGGAAGTGCAAATGCACCTCGTAATCAGAAAAGGCCAATGATCTACAAGTAACTGATGTGCCTGTACGGGCCATCCATATGCATTACATTGCTGGTGAATGGTTCGCAAGCGGTTATGAATAAATTAGATTTATTAAATGGATATGTTTTATAGCAGAAATTAAAAAAAATGTTTTTTTAACCACTTGCTCTCTTGAGGATTTAACCCCCCCCCCCCCCCCTTCCTGACCAGGCCATTTATTGGATTACGGCGCTGTGTTACTTTGACAATTGCGCGGTCATGCAAACCAAATTAAATTTACGTCCTTTTTTCCCCATGAATAGAGCTTTCTTTTGGTGGTAATTGATGGCCTGTGCGTTTTTTTTTATTTTTTGCACTATAAAAAAAGACTGACAATTTTGAGAATAAAACAATAATTTTGACTTTTTGCTATTAAACATGTCCAGTAAAAAAATTAAAAAAATTAAATTTCATCATAAATGTAGGCCAAAATGTATTCTGCTACATGTCTTTGCTAAAAAAAAAAAAAAAAAAAAATCCCAATACTTGTAAATTAATTGGTTTACATGAACTTTATAGTGTTTACAAATGGCGGTATAGATACTGTAATTTTTTATTTTATTTTTACTAGTAATTTCGGAGATCAGTGACTTATAGCGGGACTGCGGGACTGCGGCGGGCATTCTGACACTGGGGGGAACTGACTTGTTGTCACTGACATCCCCAATGACATCAATACAGTGAGCAGTGCTAAAAAGAAGCACTGACACTGTACTAATGGCACTGGGCAGGAATGGGTTAACATGAGGGGCGATCAAAGGGTTAGCTGTGTGCTGTTTCACTATGTGTTGTGTGTGTGTGCTTCACCGTAAGCACACTGCTTTGCATGTGTACGAGCTGACAGGGAGGAGAACTGTTCTGTTTACAAACAGTTCTCCTCCCCATTGGAGATGCTCGGCAATCCCCAAGCGCCAGCGAGTAATCACCGTCTGGGACTGGCAGCCACGAATGGCCTCACGAGCGCGCCCCTACCCGGAAATGCCAAATCACGTAGTATATATACGTGATTTTGCACACCCATGCCGCCCTGTAGCAGCATATCTGCAATAGGGCGGTCGGGAAGCGGTTAACATTTTTGGTCTGTTTTGTTTATATAAAAAAAATTAAACAATGGTGACCAAATACCACCAAAAAAAGCTATATTTTTATGTAAAAAATATAAACATTTCATTTGGGTACAGCATTGCATGGCCATGCAATTACTAGGTAAATAGCACAGTGCTAAATAGCAAAAATTGGCCTGATCAAGGAAACTTATTCTATGCAGGTAAAGAGCTGCCAGTGCTGACCTGCCCTTGTGAAAATGCTAGTTGCCTGCTGGATCAATGGCACTAATATTTTAACTGACCTGGAAGTAAAATATAGAGCAGAAAGTATGACATTGCTGATCTGCATAATTGTTCCATATCAGTAGGTCAAGAAATATTCAAGCAATTTATTCATAGTGACAGAAGGAAAATTAGCAGCAATTGCAGCCACCATACTTCTCTTAGTTGTCTTTAACTGGTGAGTGTCCTTACAATTTTTGGTCCATGAAGACTTCTCTCAGTAGTTCTGCCAGTACATACAATCATAGCCAAAAATATTGGCACTCCTGCATTTCTGTCCGATAATGTACCACTTCACCCAAAAAATTGTTGGAATTACAAATGACCCAAAGCATCCAGAAATAGTTTCAGACAAAGCGCTTTAGAGTACTGAACTGGCCATCAATGAGTTCAGATCTCAATTTGATAGAGCACCTGTGGAGAGATCTCAAAACAGCAGTTGGGAAAAGGAACCCTTCCAATCTGAGGGATCTGGAGCAGAGTAAAAAGAGTGGTCCAAAAATCCAGTAGAGAGGTGTAAGAAACTTATTGATGGTTACAGGAAGTTATATTTTTTTCCAAGCGATGTGCTACCAAATATTAATATGAGGGTGCCAATAATTTTGTTAAGTCCATTTTTGGGGTTTTGCGTGGAATCTGTCAGATTTGGCTTTTTTTTGTTTCTACGCTTTTTTGTGTCGTACCAAAACAAACAAAGAAATAAACATGAGACTGTCTAAACATTTGTAATTGCACGTTTTCTGGGTGAAGTGGTGCATTATCTGACAGAAATGCAGGGGTGCCAATATTTTTGGCCACAACTGTATTATTACCTGCCAAACTACTGAAAAAATTACATTCAATAGTTAACTATTTATTTAATAGTCAAAAAGGTTGGACTAGTCCTGGCGAGGCAGTTCCTGCAGCTTTGTAGACATTGTAGGGATAATTGATTTAGCTGCTAAACAGTGATTTTACATCAGCTAATATTTCATGTAAATCAGCCTCTACTTTTGCCATAACACAACTCAAGTCAAACTTGCTCCCTGCAATGAGATTCCAGCACTATTTAACAAAACTTTGTTTATAAACAGAGCCATACCACGCCTGGTTATTGTCATACCTGGTTGTGCTGCAGGAAACGGCACAACCAGGTAGGAGAGAGCTTGACTAAAAGGAAAGTGGCGAAAGAGAAAATGAGCCTACTCTCTGTATGCACTGCACACACATACCAGAGTGCTTGAACCAATTATTATTGTGCCACAGCCAAAAACATCAGCATTAAGGACTTTTTAAAAATGAGATAGGTTGGTTTTCAGTGGTGTGTTTCCTTAACCATTCGTTTTTATTGGCGGTTTTCCTCTAAATCATTGGTGTTCATTGATAAGTATCTTATTCATTATTATTGTTCATTGGTACAGTAAGTATCCCCTTAATCATTGTCCTTTGTTGGTGGGTTGCCCCTTAATCATTGATGTTCATTGGTGAGTGTCCCCTTAATTATTACTGTTCATTGGGAGAGCATCCCCTTAATCATTGGTGTTTGCTGGTGAGTATTCCCCTAATCATTGCTGTTCAATGGCGAGTATACTCTTAATCATTAGTGTTCATTGGTGAGTATCCCCTTAATCCTTGGTGTTCATTGGTACGTATTCCCCTCAATCATTGTTATTCATTTGTGACTATCACCTTAATTATTGGTGTCCATTGGTGAGTATCCCCTTAATCATTGGTGAGTAACCCCCTAATCATTGTTGCTCATTGGTGGATATCCCCTTAATCATTACTGTTCAGTGGTGCGTATCTCCTAAAACATTGGTGTCCATTGGTGAGTATCCTCTGAATGCTTGTGTTCATTGGTGAATACTGTATATCCATAATCAATGGTGTTCATTAGTAAGTATCCGCTTAGTCATAGCTGTTCATTGGCGAGTATGCCTTTTACCACTGGTGTTCATTAGTGTGAATGACATGTATTATGCCTACTGTGCCTCTTGGGATATGCACATCAAATATCCCAGGAGGCATGGTCCTTCATTGAGAAGCGCTGTGTTATCATGAGGTCCAGCGACTGAAGAGCTGGGGGGCCTCCCGATTATGTCACGTAAGAAGATAGTGGTGCAGGGCTGAATGGGGGTAGAATTCTGAAAGGATTCTGCAGGACATTGCTGGATTAGTTGGATGGGTGAGTATTTGAAATGGTTAGAACCTGTGACAATATGTAGATTGGGCTCAAAGAAATAAAATAAGGTGGAGAGCCTGGAGATTCACTTTAATGATTGCTTTTCATTGATCATTGGTGAGTATACCCTTAACCACTGGTGTTCTTTGGTGAGTATCTGCTTAATTGTTGCTTTTCAATGGTGAGTATACCCTTAACCATTGGTGTTCATTGGTGAGTATACCCTAAACCATTGGTATTCATTACTAAGTATCTGCTTAATCATTGCTTTTCAATGGTGAGTATATCTTTAATCATTGCTTTTCAATGGTGAGTATACCCTTAACCATTGGTGTTCATTGGTGAGTATTCCCTTATGCAGGCCATAGATGTGGGGAAAATCGGCCGTTTTTAAAAAAAAAAAAAATCATAAATCGGTCGTTCAGACGGCCGACGTTGCCACTAATTTAAAAAAAAGTTGCCGGGTTTTAGTCTCGTCTACGGCCGTCAATTAATATAATAGCGGTGTCCCTGCATAGAGACCCGCTATTATATATTTGACAGAAGAAATAGATTATGCAGAAGAAGAAGAGAAACGACATTATATCTATTTGTACTTGAATAGAAACATCTGTATCCAAAATGCATACAAATAGATACAATGTTGCAACTTTTTTTTCTTCTCCATCTTCTTCTTCTGCAAAATCTATTTCATCTTCTCCTCTTTTCTTCTATTCTTCTTCTTGATATTCTATTTCTTCTTCTCCTGTAAAATCTATTTCTCCTATTACTTCTTTTTCTTCATAGTCAATTTATTGTCAAATTGGTCAGAAGAACGGCCAATTTGACAATAAATTACCACGAAAATCAGCCGATCTAACAAATCGTCCCAGGATTTTCCAGCATGGCCGATTTTCAAAATCTCTTAAAATTAAGAAAAACGGCCGACATTTTTCTCCACTAACGGTACGAATATCGGCCGATTTTTTTATTGGCTGATAATTTGGCAAGAAAATCGGAAATCTATGGCCTGCATTAGTCATTGCCATTCATTGGTGAGTATCTCCATAATAATTGATCTTCAATGTTTACTTAACAAAGAGAGAATCTTCACAGGTCCTGCAATTCTGCTTCTTGGGTCTAGTGAATGACCTCATCACCAGAACTCTGCCGACACTGTTGGGTAGGATATCACTGCATATACCTGCATAGTTCGTTGTCACAAGACCACATGCCCAGGGTCAATCCTTTTGTTTCCTGGGGTCTAGCAATACTTATACTCCTTTATCAATACAACCCTGACTAGAAGAAAAAACACATTTTATTCCTTTACAACAGTTTCTGTAAAACAGCCACAAAGTTGTCCTTGGACTAGTTTATTTAGCATATGAAGGTTTAATCTTAAATCTTTAGTCCCCTACAAGTAAGTCCATATTTATGAGCTACACATTCAAGAATTTACTGGTTTCAACACTCCACAGAGAAGGCGGGTGACGCGGCCGCACACATAATTTTTCACAGATGAAGTAGTGAGGGCAGGTGTAGGACGGCTTTATGAATGAGAACTAAATCCTTCTACACTCTGAGCTTTTTTTTTTTTCTTCCTTTCTTCCAGATATTGCCGTAGGGCTTAACTTGGATATCTAAAAATACATATGTAGGGTAAGTAATCTGCAGCTAAGGCATATCAGGTGTCCGCACTTCTGTGCTATGATACTAGTTCACCGCAGGGTATTGCACTGCTTTACCGCTCTTAACACTTCTCCCAATCGCTTATGATAATTTCTGACAATTTGTGACACTTCATCGAATGTCACAACCTTTACTGCGCAGATGGTGTTTGGCTCCGTCTATGTTTTCGTTTTCTTTTGTAAGAAACAAAAATAAAATGTCAGTCTCTGACAAATGATCCTTAATTAGCATTGACGATGCTAATACCACCTCTGGGGCAATGGCCACGGGACAATAGGTGAGGGTCAACACATACAGGAAACGGTCGTGTACAAATAAAGACGCGGTCCACATGTTGTCAGACATAAAGAGGAATTCCACCTTAAGCCTCAAATACAAATGTGACAGAAGTGCTGATTTTTAATGGGTATAATAAAGGGACAGTCCACCCAAAAACATTTAAGTTTTTGGTAGATCCTGGAAAAATAGAACTGAACTCCAGACAAACAGTAAATTTAAAAAAATAATATAATACAGCTATGTATTCAATAAAACATGTTTTTTTTCATTCATTCAGCCTGGTAATTCCCTGCACAGCAGCACTCAGACAGAGATGAAGGAGAAGCACGAGGAGACAATCAGGTGTGCTGCTTACACGTGTTTACAAGAACATGTTGACAGTAGGTGAAAGCAGAGTAAGCAAAGGGGTGAACTGCTCT